AGCCATCTCCTGGTGGGGCTGGGGGGCCCCCCCGCACAAGTGCCCCCTTGGGGTGGTGCTGGCTCCCCAGCCGGGGCAGCGGGCAGAAAGGCGCCCCCTCGTGGTTGGAATTCTGTCGGTGGCAGGCGGTAGGGCCTAGGCTTCGTCCTGGGGGGTGGGGGGCAGGGAAGGCTGGAGGGAGGGAGGATGGCGGAGGGCTCCCACCCAGGCCGAAGGCCGTCAGAACCGCTTCCCCACGGGCCGCGCTCTCAGCGGGGCCACTGCCACCGGGTTAGTGGCGGGGATGCTGGGGAAACGTTTGGCAAAGAATTGAGGGCCTGTCTGGAGAGGCAGGGAAACTGAGGCAGCCATGCAGAAGAGGTGAAAGTTCAGGGAAGAAGGGGTCGGACAGGAGCCTTTGGAAGAGGGAGGAATGGAGAAATCTGCGGCCAGGATCCTGGCCCGTCCCAGCGGCCCTCACTGTGCCTTCCGGACCCCACCCTCCTTCAGTCTGGGGGTCCTTCCCCGGGAAGGGGACACACAGAAAGCAGCGCCTCCCACCCCGTCCCAAAGCTGCCAGGCTTGTCTCCCTCCCTCTCCCAGTTCGGCGCCATCTTCCTTTCCAGGGCCCCACCCAGCGATGAGTAACCTCCTACCCCTCCACCCCGAGGCTGGAGCTGCCAGCCTGGCCCGAGGAAACCTTGGCCCCTTCCTGCCCGGGTCCCTCAGACTCCCAGGCTCCCAGGGATCAACCAGACCTCTGTGGGGACAGCATCCCCCAAGGAGGAAGTCCGCCAACCCCCGGACATATTGAGAAAGGCAACCCCCATCCCCACACACCCCAGTCCTGGGAGCTCACACAGAGAACAGGGGCTCCAGAGGTGCGAGCCTGCAAGGTCACCTGGTTTCCCACTAGACTGCCCACGAGATAGCCCCGAAAGGCAAAGGACCACAAAGGCCACCTAACAGCTAGGGCCAGAACCCCGGCTCCTGACTCTCCGCCCAGTGGTCTTCCCCACACGGACCCTGGTGACAGTGGGGGTCACCCTGTCACTCTGAGGTGTGCTCAGGAGGGGGTGGGGGTGGGGGTGGGGCAGAGGAGAGCAGTGGTTTGGGCTTTGTCGGAGGAATTGCTGCCCTCCTGCTGCTGTGCCCCTGGCCTGCCCCTCGCCCAGTGGAGACCAGGTCCCAAAGGCCACAGGCTTAGGTGGCGGAAGAAGCAGGAGGGCCTCCCAGAGGGATTCACATCTGGCCCGGCCTTGTCATTGGCTGTGTGTTTGCTGATGGCCTGGTGCTCCCTTACCCCTCTCAGCCCAAGGTCCACCCACACCCATGGAGGGCTCAGCCCGGGCCAGGACCGTCGGTGCCAGGGGACGGAAAAGAGCCAGTGAGAGACAGACAAGCAGGAGGGAGACAGACAGGCAGACGGAGCAGGCTGTGGGGACGGTGAACAGACCACAGCGAGGGCATTGGAGCAAGAATGGCCCCCACTGCTCCAAGCACTCCACCACCAAGGGCTTAAGACGGGGCCTCCATTGCCCTGTCCCTGCTCCCCAGCCCAGAACCCTGGTCTTGGCTCCCTCAAGAGGACCCATTCCTGGCCACCACTCACAGTGTGCGCACCGGGGCCCAGGGTGCCTCCAAGAGCCAGCCTGGGGTGGGGCAATCAGGAAAACAGGTGCTGCTTGCTCAGGACCCAGGCCCGGGGGTAGGAGGGTGCAGGACAGTGGCAAAGAGAAAGACTCTGCCACCATGTGGGCGGGCTACCTGGACCTGGGTGGGATCTTGAGGGACGTCCTGGGATCCTGGGACTTGGACTAGGCTGGTTCCTCCTGAGGTCCCCGCCCCAGATTCATGACTCCCAGGCCAGCAGGCAGCAGGAAGGGGGGTGATTAGGGAGGCAAAACTGGAAGGCAGGGGCCCTAACCCTGAAGAGAGAGAGACACAGACAGACAGACTACTATATCGGGTGCTGGAAGGGAGCTGGGGTAGACACACCAGCATCCAGGACCTGGCTCCTAAGTGGCTCCGACAATCATGCTAACCCGTGCCCCCCTGGGAAAGGATGTGAGATAGTGGCAAAGAGAAAGACTCTGCCAACATGTGGACGGGCTACCTGGACCTGGGTGGGATCTTGAGGGACGTTCTGGGATCCTGGAACTTGGACTAGGCTGGTTCCTCCTGAGGTCCCCGCCCCAGATTCATGACTCCCAGGCCAGCAGGCAGCAGGAAGGGGGGTGATTAGGGAGGCAAAACTGGAAGGCAGGGGCCCTAACCCTGAAGAGAGAGAGACACAGCCAGACAGACGACTATATCGGGTGCTGGAAGGGAGCTGGGGTAGACAATCAGCATCCAGGACCTGGCTCCTAAGTGGCTCCGACAGTCATGCTAACCCGTGCCCCCCTGGGAAAGGATGTGAGATGTGGTCACGTGGTGCTGGCTGTATGTAGCTGACCTGCCCAGAGAGAATATCTAGAGCCAAGAGTCTAAAAGGGGGTCACAGTGGCAAAGAGAAAGACTCTGCCACCATGTGGGCGGGCTACCTGGACCTGGGTGGGATCTTGAGGGACGTCCTGGGATCCTGGGACTTGGACTAGGCTGGTTCCTCCTGAGGTCCCCGCCCCAGATTCATGACTCCCAGGCCAGCAGGCAGCAGGAAGGGGGGTGATTAGGGAGGCAAAACTGGAGGGC